TCACTGACTTGATGCTAGACTCTGCTCAAATAACTGAAAGGAAGACCTTGTAATCAGAGTATGATGGGTGCAACTTGGATGTGGCTTTGACTGCACAACTGTCGCATTGATAACATTAAGATGCCCCTTTTCAGCCTCTGTTCACATATATGTGAATTCTGATGCAATTTTAACCCCACAGATTTGCATGACATGCAAACTAAAATGCTTTTCTGCGGAGACCATTTACAAACAGTACATGCGGGCCAGCCTCAGTACGCTATTAAAAAGGGTCCTGAGCGATTTTCTGTGAGGTGGGGGTGTAATTCCCAGCCTGATACACTTTAACAATTCGCATCAGAATCTCCCCTGCACCGCATGAACAAAATCGCACCACATCCCCCACCACATATATGTGAACCCAGGCTGAGAGTTTACATGCAGTTCATGGCATGAAAGTTGCATCGAATTAGTGCAGAAACCTTTTTAAAGTCGTTGTGATTTTAAGCTGCATAGATTTGCATGGCTTCCATCGAAATACACGAGCTCAGACTTGTCATGCAACGTTATGTGTGCAAACACTACAAATCCCAGAGGAACATCCTGTTCACATGTGCAAAGTTGCATGACAAATCGCACAAGGGGTGACACCGGACCCGCTCCACGAAAAGGTAAGTTGTAAAGCAAGCCAACGATCCCCGCAGGATGGATCAGATCTGCGGATTGGGGAGGATAATGGATGGGACTCCGATCCTTTATGCTCAATCCGCAGATCCGATCCATCCTGCAGAGATCGTTGGCTTGCTTTCCAACTTACCTTTTGGTGGAACGGGTCCGGTGTCACCCCATGCAGTAGGTGTCACCCCGTGTGGCGCGCACCCCCCGCAGCCTAGGGATGCCACTGATTGTACCTTTGCTGCAGGGGTTGATCTGTGTCAGACATTTGTTAACACAGCCACAAAGAAGGTATACTGCATATTAAATATATATACAGTGGGAATCGAAAGTTTGGGCACCCCAGCTAAAAATTTGTATTAATGTGCATAAAGAAGCCAAGGAAAGATGGAAAAATCTCCAAAAGGCATCAAATTACAGATTAGACATTCTTATAATATGTCAACAAAAGTTAGATTTTATTTCCATCATTTACACTTTCAAAATAACAGAAAACAAAAAAAATGGCGTCTGCAAAAGTTTGGGCACCCTGCAGAGTTAATATCTTGTACTGCCCCCTTTGGCAAGTATCACAGCTTGTAAACGCTTTTTGTAGCCAGCCAAGAGTCTCAATTCTTGTTTGAGGTATCTTTGCCCATTCTTCCTTACAAAAGTCTTCCAGTTCTTTGAGATTTCTGGGCTGTCTGTCACGCACGGCTCTTTTAAGGTCTATCCATAGATTTTCAATTATGTTGAGGTCAGGAGATTGTGAAGGCCATGGCAAAACCTTCAGTTTACGCCTCTTGATGTAATCCCCCGTGGATTTCGAGGTGTGTTTAGGATCATTATCCATTTGTAGAAGCCATCCTCTCTTTAACTTCAGCTTTTTCACAGTTGGCATCAAGTTACCATCCAAAATTTGCTGAAATTTTATTGAATCCATTTTTCCTTCTACTCGTGAGATGTTCCCTGTGCCACTGGCTGCAACACAACCCCAAAGCATGATTGATCCAACCCCATGCTTAACAGTTGGACAGAGGTTCTTTTCATTAAATTCTGTGCCCTTCTTCTCCAAACGTACCTTTGCTCATTCCGGCCAAAAAGTTAAATTTTAACCTCATCGGTCCACAGAACTTGTTTCCAAAATGCATCAGGCTTGTCTATATGTTCATTTGCAAAGTTCAAACGATGATTTTTGTGGTGAGGACATAGAAGAGGTTTTCTTCTGATGACTCTTCCATGAAGACCATATTTGTACAAGTATCTCTTTATAGTGGAATAGTGTACCACAACTCCAGTGTCTGCCAGATCTTTCTGGAGGGATCGTGCAGTCAAACGTGGGTTTTGAATTGTTTTTCTCACAATCCTGCGAGCTGTTCTGTCTGATATTTGTCTTGGTCTTCCAGATCTTGCTTTAACTTCCACTGTTCCTGATGACTGCCATTTCTTAATTACATTCCGAACAGAGGATATTGACATCTGAAAACGCTTTGCTATCTTCTTATAGCCTTCTCCAGCTTTGTGAGCGTCAACTATTTTCAGTTTCAGTTTTCTAGACAACTGCTTAGAAGAACCCATGGTGCTGATTGTTGGGGCAAGGTTAGATGAGTCTGGGCATTTAAAACCTTTGAGATTGACATCACCTGGTCTTCCCAGACGATGATTGAGAACAATCCATGACACTGGCAGGTCTCAGCTTGGCAAAGGGGGCAGTGCATGCTATAAAATTCTGCAGGGTGCCCAAACTTTTGCAGACGCCATTTTTTTTGTGTTCTGTTATTTTGAAAGTGTAAATGATGGAAATAAAATCTAACTTTTGTTGACATATTATAAGAATGTCTAATCTGTAATTTGATGCCTTTTGGAGATTTTTCCATCTTTCCTTGGCTTCTTTATGCACATTAATACAAATTTTTAGCTGGGGTGCCCAAACTTTCCATCCCCACTGTATATGCTTCAAAATCTCCTGGTAGACGGCTGCGTTGACCCTGGACTTAATGAAGCACAGTAACCAACACCAGCAGATGACATGGCTCCCCAAATCAACATAGACTGTGGAAACTTCACACTGGACTTCAAGCATCTTGCAGTGTGTGCCTCTCCATTCTTCCTCCATACTCGGGGTCCTTGTGCCTCTCCATTCTTCCTCCATACTCGGGGTCCTTGGGCCTCTCCATTCTTCCTCCATACTCGGGGTCCTTGGGCCTCTCCATTCTTCCTCCATACTCGGGGTCCTTGGGCCTCTCCATTCTTCCTCCATACTCGGGGTCCTTGGGCCTCTCCATTCTTCCTCCATACTCGGGGTCCTTGGGCCTCTCCATTCTTCCTCCATACTCGGGGTCCTTGGGCCTCTCCATTTTTCCTCCATAATCGGGGTCCTTGGGCCTCTCCATTTTTCCTCCATATTCGGGGTCCTTGGGCCTCTCCATTCTTCCTCCATACTCGGGGTCCTTGGGCCTCTCCATTCTTCCTCCATACTCGGGGTCCTTGTGCCTCTCCATTCTTCCTCCATACTCGGGGTCCTTGATTTCCAAATGAGATCCAAAAGTTGCTCTCATCAGAAAAGAGGACTTTGGACCACTGAGCACCAGACAAGGTCTGTTTTTCTTTAGCCCAGGTAAGACGCTTCTGACGTTGTTTGTTGTTCAGGAGCGGCTTGACAAGAGGAATATGACATTTGAAGCCCATGTCCAGGATCTGTCTGTGTGTGGTGGCTCTTGATGCACTGACTCCAGCCTCAGTCCACTCCTTGTAAAAGTCCCCAACACTTTTGAATGGCCTTTTCCTGACAATCCTCTCCAGGCTGCGGTCATCCCTGCTGCTTATGCACCTTTTTCTTCCACACAACTTTCTATTAATGTGCTTTGATACAGCACTTTGGGAACATCCAACTTCTTTTGCAATTCCCTTTTGAGGCTTTCCCTCCTTATGGAGGGTGTCAGTGATGGTGTCAGGTCAGCAGTCTTTCCCATGATTGTGATTCCTACTGAACCAGACTGAGAGACCATCACTGACACCCTCCATAAGGAGGGAAAGCCTCAAAAGGGAATTGCAAAAGAAGTTGGATGTTCCCAAAGTGCTGTATCAAGTGCTTAATTATCTGATTAGAGTGGGACACTTTGAGCCGAGAATATTCCACCTTTTCACAATATTCTCATTTTCTGAGGTTGTGGATTTGGGGTTTTCATGAGCTGTAAGCCATAATCATCACAATGATGACAAATCACGGCTTGAACTATCTTGTTTTGCATGGAATGAGTCTATCTCATATATTAGTTTCACCTTTTAAGTTGCATTACTGAAATAAATGAACTTTTGCACCATATTCTAATTTTTCGAGTTTCACCTGTATGTGTATATAAATAGTAATAATATATACAAACACCAACAATGGCACACGGGTCTCTGTTCAAACATTTATTATTTTTTTTCTTTAAATAGTGTTTTGTTTTTTTTTTCTCTCTTTATAAAACATCTCTTCAATTCACATTCTATTCACAGGTTATTAGCAAAGGAAACGCAGTCACTCTCCAAACACGTCTTTGGCAAATTGGTTTCTCCTTATAACGCGGCTTCTCTTGTGACGTCTGGTACAAAATATTCAGTTTACAGAAATAGAAGCATATCTATATATATTCATATATATAATCACTGATGAATCCCAAAAAAGTATTAAATAACAATTAAAAAAAAACAAAACAAAAAAAAAACAAAAAAAAAAAAAATACATTGTATCAAATCTTCACTCTCTCACGCCAACCTGACACATTGTGAGTGCACGATGTTCTTCTTTTTTTTTTTTTTTGTAAATCCCACAAACCCCCTGGGGTGATTCTGTCCAATAAGGAGGTAGGGGGAGGGGCCGCAGATTTAGTGCGGCTGTGGTCAGCCAATCGTTCTGTGCGCGGTGCGCTTTGCGGGCGAAGCCGACTTACCTTCGAGAAAGGGAGCACGAATCACATGGCAAACTGCATCGCAAGTACTGACAAAGTTACAAGCTCAGGTCGCTGGACGATTTTTTTTTTTTTTTTCCCTTTTCAGCACACGCACAAAGAAAGAAAAGAATATCGATCAGAGAGAGGGCCATGCAGATTGACATAGCGAGTTATTACAAAGTCTCGGTTGGAAAAAAAAAAAAAAAAACGCATCTCCTTCACAAGCAGCAAAATTCATAAAAAGTCGCGGCCTTCTCCCTTCTGTACAGGATAGGTGGACACGAGGGACGTGGTGGCGCCACCTCCGTAGTGACGTCACCTACGTGGTGACGTCACCTCCTCAGCCACCTCTACAGACGCAGGGGGGAGCGTGGTGGCTCGGGGCAAACTTCAGCACGTTGTGGGGTGGGGGGTTCTCAGGGGCCCCTCCACCTAGGAGATCTTACAGCTGTTCCTGGTACAGTTTTTGGGGGGACTCTGAGGAGGACGGATGATCTTGGCTTTTTTCAGGCTGTGCCTTTTGTTCAGGTTGTTGGCAGTGAGCGAGTAGGAACGGCCGTGCATCATTCTGGCGTTCAGTCCGTTGGCCATGGAGAAGGACTTCAGATGGCTTCGTAAGGCAACTGGGAGGGGGGGAGCTTGTCCACCAGGTGGACGGGGGTGCAGGAGACGATGGCTCGGCAGCAAAGGTCTTGCAGGCTCAGTACTGTCAAAAAGATCGGACAATGGATAAATATTGATGAGTCAATATCATATCACAAGAAATTATTTCAACAGGAACTTGAAGGCTATATAAACCAGGGGCGGACTGACCATTCGAGCACTGCCCGAGGGCCCGGGGTCAGTAGGGGGCCCCATGAAATGCACATAGTACCTTTTTTATAGGCTTTTGTGGCTGTGCTTTGATTTGAGCAAGGACACAGGGGCCCCATGATCCCCTAATGCCCGGGGGCCCCATGAATTGTCAGTCTGCCCCCGATATAAGCCCCATAACAAAAATCCAATATATTACAGACTATAGGGTCACCATACACGGACCATTGGCTGTCAATCACTGGGTCCCACCTGGTGATTACTCGCCGGCGCCCGGTGATCGAGGAGCACAACTGATGGAGGGAGAGAACTGAAAGTAAACAATACAGTTCTCTCCCCTATCAGCTACTGCACACTACTTTGCATGCTCTGCACAAACACAGGACACAGTAAAACAGCACACAGTTAACCCTTTGATCTCCCCACGTTAACCCCTTCCTGCCCAGTGCCATTAGTACAGTGTCAGTGCTTTTTATTAGGACTGATCACTGTATTGGTGTCACTGGGGATGTCAGTAACACCAAGTCAGTTCCCCCCCCCAGTGTCAGAATGGCCACCACATTGAGAAAAGGTATTTAGTAGTTTAGATTTACTAAAATAAATTGCATTTCCATCTTCTGTGTACTGTGGGAGACCAGATATAGTGAATGCGGGGTCCGGGGAGACCGGATATAGTGAATTCGGGGTCCGGGGACACCGGATATAGTGAATTCGGGGTCCGGGGAGAGCGGATATAATGAATGCAGGGACCTGGGAGAGCGGATATAGGGAATGCAGGGTCCGGGGAGAGCGGATATAGTGACTGCGGGGTCCGGGGGGGAGAGCGGATATAGTGACTGCGGGGTCCGGGGAGAGCAGATATAGTGAATGCGGGGTCCGGGGAGACCGATATAGTGAATTCGGGGTCGGGGACACTGGATATAGTGAATTCGGGGTCCGGGGAGAGCGGATATAATGAATGCAGGGACCGGAGAGCGGATATAGGGAATGCAGGGTCCGGATATATAGTGACTGCGGGGTCCGGGGAGAGCGGATATAGTGACTGCGGGGTCCGGGGAGAGAGCGGATATAGTGAATGCGGGGTCCGGGGAGAGCGGATATAGTGAATGCGGGGTCCGGGGAGCGGATATAGTGAATGCGGGGTCCGGGGGAGGGGATATAGTGAGCGGGTCCGGGGATATATAGTGAATGCAGGGTCCGGGGAGAGCGAATATAGTGAATGCAGGGTCCGGGGAGAGCGAATATAGTGAATGCAGGGTCCGGGGAGAGCGGATATAGTGAATGCAGGGTCCGGGGAACCCGGATATAGTGAATGCAGGGTCCGGGGAGCCCGGATATAGTGAATGAAGGGTCCGGGGAGCCCGGATATAGTGAATGAAGGGTCCGTGGAGACCAGATATAGTGAATGCAGGGTCCGGGGAGCCCAGATATAGTGAATGCGGGTCCGGGGAGACCGGATATAGTGAATGCGGGGTCCGGGGAGATATAGTGAATGCGGGGTCCGGGGAGACCGGATATAGTGAATGCGGGGTCCGGGGAGACCGGATATAGTGAATGCGGGGTCCGGGGAGACCGGATATATAGTAATGCGGGGTCCGGGGAGACCGGATATAGTCAATGGGGGTCCGGGGAGACCGGATATAGTGAATGCGGGGTCCGGGGAGACCGGATATAGTGAATGCGGGGTCCGGGGAGACCGGATATAGTGAATGCGGGGTCCGGGGAGACCGGATATAGTGACGGGGTCCGGGGGGAGACCGGATATAGTGAATGCGGGGTCCGGGGAGACCGGATATAGTGAATGCGGGGTCCGGGGAGCCCGGATATAGTGAATGCGGGGTCCGGGGCCCGGATATAGAGGGTCCGGGGAGCCCGGATATAGTGAATGCGGGGTCCGGGGAGCAGGGTCCCCCGGATATAGTGAATGCGGGGTCCCCGGGTGAGCACCGGATATAGTGAATGCGGGGGGGAGCCGGGTGAGCCCGGATATAGTGAATGCAGGGTCCCCGGATATAGTGAATGCCCGGGGAGCCCGGATATAGTGAATGCAGGGTCCGGGGAGCCCGGATATAGTGAATGCAGGGTCCGGGGTTTAGTAACACTTTAACTCAAGTCATGCTATTTAATGATTTGTCCAGCAGGTGGCAGTAGAGGGCTGCAGAAGCCACCAACTGACATCTTCGGCAGGCTGGGCGACTACTGTCACTGATTCACATGGTCACCCAGCAGCAGGAAACGCGCCGAATATAGTGTGTGCGCCATCAGAGATATAGATGAACATCCTTTGGGGGATCACATGGGGCCAATCACCTGCGGCAGATCCAGGGACGAATCCTACACTGTAACAGATACGCAAGATACAGAATGTTGGCTCACCCTTGTTCGGCCTCCAGAGGCGGTCCATCCCGTGCCGCATTAGGACGATCCGCGCCAGCTCGGTGAACGACTCCGTGATATTGAAGTTGCAGAGCGGGCTCACCTCGAAGAAGGTCATTCCTAGGCGTTCGGCGTAATTCTGGGCCTGATCCGTAGACACCTGCCGCTTGAACGCCAAGTGCAGCCGGTTGCCCACCAGGATCTTGGGCACCCCTGGAGCATGCTGGGAAGAGACAATACAAACACTTAATGACAATGTAAGCAATCTGCTGCAGAGTAAAGAATCCTTTACACTATGATCACACCTTTGTAGTGCAAAGCATGCGCGCATGCGCACATGCAATATGAGGGAGGGGGAGGGGGCAGCCCATCGATTAAATTGGCTCCCTAGTACTCAAAAAAAGTGTATTCACCTTTTTTGGTGTATTTTATTTTCTGGAAAGGCAGCGAACCACAATGTACATTACTATGCTTTGTGGACAGGCAATGGGCATGTGTAGCCATTAAAGTGTTACTGAACCCCCAGACCCTGCATTCACTATATCCGCTCTCCCCGGACCCCGCATTCACTACTATATCCGCTCTCCCCGGACCCCGCATTCACTATATCCGCTCTCCCCGGACCCCGCATTCACTATATCCGCTCTCCCCGGACCCCGCATTCACTATATCCGCTCTCCCCGGACCCCGCATTCACTATATCCGCTCTCCCCGGACACCGCATTCACTATATCCGCTCTCCCCGGACCCCGCATTCACTATATCCGCTCTCCCTGGACCCCGCATTCACTATATCCGCTCTCCCTGGACCCCGCATTCACTATATCCGCTCTCCCCGGACCCCGCATTCACTATATCCGCTGTCCCCGGACCCTGCATTCACTATATCCGGTCTCCCCGGACCCCGCATTCACTATTCCCGCTCTCCCCGGACCCCCGCATTCACTATATCCGGTCTCCCCCGGACCCCGCATTCACTTTATCCGCTCTCCCCGGACCCCGCATTCACTATATCCGCTCTCCCAGGACCCGCATTCACTATATCCGCTCTCCCCGGACCCCGCATTCACTATATCCCTCCCTGGACCCCGCATTCACTTATCACTCTATCTCCCCGGACCCCGTTCACTCCCCCCGGACCCCGCATTCACTAAATCCGCTCTCCCCGGACCCTGCATTCACTATATCCGGTCTCCCCGACCCCGCACCCCGCTTTCACTATATCCGCTCTCCCCCGGACCCCGCATTCACTTTCTCCGGTCTCTCCCCGGACCCCGCATTCACTATATCCGCTCTCCCCGGACCCCGCATTCACTTTATCTGCTCTCCCCGGACCCCGCATTCACTATATCCGCTCTCCCCAGACCCCGCATTCCCTGCACTATATCCGCTCTCCCCCGCCTCATTCACTATATCCGCTCTCCCCGGACCCCGCATTCACCCGCTCTCCCCGGACATTCACTATATCCGCTCTCCCCCGGACCCTGCATTCACTATATCTGGTCTCCCCGGACCCCGCATTCACTATATCTGGTCTCCCACAGTACACAGGACACATAGAAATGCAATAAGTTTAGTAAATAAAAACTGCTAAATACCTTTTCTCATCAGCAGTATATAGCAGTCTTGTGACTTCTGTCAGTGTCCAGCAGAGCACTGGTTAATCTTGTAGGAGGAGTTTTCATTCTCCCCTGATTTTCCTATGAGACTGCATAACCCCTGACCCTCTGTCTGGACAGTGCTGATTGGCCCTGTGCTGATCACATGCACTCTTCCAAACAGAAGAAAAACCCTCTAGCCATACACACTAAACTAAGCATGTGCAGAGTGTCTACACACAATATGTCTTACTAGGAGATAAGAAGGGGGACACTGGAAGAAGGGGGAGGATCAGAGAAGACAGGATCAAACAGCCTGGAACTCTGTACTATCAGTAGATGGATTGGGGATAGTAGAAGGGGAGGATCAGAGGAGACAGGATTAAACAGCCTTTATACACAAAGAGGATTAACCCCTTAGGTTCCACAGTGAGTATAATAATCACGCTTTACTGCATCTACAGACTGATTGTACTGTTGTGGGTTTTGTAACACTTTAAAATGAAATGGCACTGCAGCACAAAAACATGCGTTTTCATGCATTGTAATGCATGCACATTATTGCAATTCTCAGATGCGGAACCAGCCTTTAAATTTAAATTCTAGGCCACATAAAATATAACATTTATGATGCTATCTATTTTTTCTCCAGGTCGATAAAAAAAAAAAATAGAGTGAATTAGGAAAATACCCCATTATGGACACTAGATGGAGCCGACAATTAGATTAGAGTGATCATCGGCACCATCTAGTGGCCATAAAGTGGCATTGTCCTAATTCACATTTTTCATTAGGAATACTGTTCAATCTAAAATGCCAAGCTTCTATTATCTGGAGAACCGAAATCCAACTAATGAAAGGGGCGGGGACAGGGAAAGGCAGGCTGGGGAGGAAAGTCCTAGATGATGCTGGGCGTCCTCCAGCCAGGAAATGAGGTGGGTTTTATCTGACTGACTGCACATCACACATTGCGAGAAGCTCACAGTATGCAGTGAAATCAGAGGAAGCCAGTGAGTCCAGGAGAGGTCACTTCTGTGCAAGACTGAACAAAATGCCGGAGTTCTGCTTAAATTTCCTTTTTAGCAACTTCAAAAGACAGACGCCTTACATAAAAATAAAAAATATTTTATGTTTTCTTTTTTTTTTTTTTTTGTTTTGTAAACAAAGAAGCAACTTCATCAAAAGCTAAAACATATTATTTTGTTTCAAAGTAAAGAAGGGCTAGAACCTTTACTTTTTTCTACAGTGTCCCCATGTGGACAATTTCACCTCACTTCCTGCCTCTGGGACACCCTGTGCTGAGATGACACACTAGGTGTCCCAGGGACAGAGAGTGAACGGAAATCTTCCCAACTGTTCTTGTGTCCCATAGTAACTAATGTACAGGTCCTATAGGACAGTGCGGGACTCACCTCATCGATCTCCTTTATCCACCGATCGATCCCATCGAACGACCAGCGGTTGGTGATGTCATAAACCAGAATCACGCCCTGTAAGAAGACATTTCACCGTTATTTATTCTCTCTTCCACCATAAAACATCATCAATAGTCCTGCATTGTAAACATTTCCGATGGCGCTCTACAAGAATCAGCCTTAGGGCCGGTCCACACCATAGAAACACCGTCCAGATGTGTTTCCGCATGTTGACGCGTTCTGGTGCATTTTTGGTGCATTTGTTAACCACTTCCAGTCCGGACACTTTCACCCCATTCCCCCCAGGCCAATTTTCCGCTTTCAGCGCTATCACACTTTGAATGACAATTGCGCGGCCATGCAACACTGTACCCATATGACATTTTTTAGCATTTTTTTTTTTGAGACAGATAAAGCTTTATTTTGGTTGTATTTATTCACCACTGGGATTTTTATTTGTTTTGCTATATAAATGAAAAAGTCCAAAAATTTGGAAAAAAGGTGTTTTTCTTATAAAATTTTGCAAATAAATAATCTTTCTTTATAAATCTTGGCCAAAATTTTATTCCGAATGCTCCTTACATTGGTGGTCAGTGGGAAGAATGTCCCTTACATTGGTGATCAGTGGGAAGAATGTCCCTTACATTGGGGGTCTGTGGGAAGAATGTCCCTTACATTGGGGGTCAGTGGGAAGAATGTCCCGTACATTGGTGGTCAGTGGGAAGAATGTCCCTTACATTGGTGATCAGTGGGAAGAATGTCCCTTTCATTGGGGGTCAGTGGGAAGAATGTCCCTTACATTGGTGATCAGTGGGAAGAATGTCCCTTTCATTGGGGGTCAGTGGGAAGAATGTCCCTTACATTGGTGATCAGTGGGAAGAATGTCCCTTACATTGGTGGTCAGTGGGAAGAATGTCCCTTACATTGGTGATCAGTGGGAAGAATGCTCCTTACATTGGTGGTCAGTGGGAAGAATGTCCCTTACATTGGTGATCAGTGGGAAGAATGTCCTTACATTGGTGTCAGTGGGAAGAATGTCCCTTACATTGGAGGTCAGTGGGAAGATCCCCTTACATTGGTGGTGGGAAGAATGTCCCTTACATTGGTGATCAGTGGGAAGAATGCCCTTACATTGGTGATCAGTGGGAAGAATGTCCTTACATTTGTGGTCAGTGGGAGTGGGTGAAGTGGGAAGAGAATGTCCCTTACATTGGTGGTCAGTGGGAAGAATGTCCCTTACATTGGTGATCAGTGGGAAGAATGTCCCTTACATTGGGGGTCAGTGGGAAGAATGTCCCTTACATTGGTGGTCAGTGGAATGTCCCTTGGTGGTCAGAACATGGTGAAGTGGGAAGAATCCCTTACATTGGTGGTCAGTGGGAAGAATGTCCCTTACATTGGGGAAGAATTCCCTTACATTGTGGGAAGTGGGAAGAATGTCCCTTACATTGGTGATCAGTGGGAAGAATGTCCCTTACATTGGTGGTCAGTGGGAAGAATGTCCCTTACATTGGTGGTCATTGGGAAGAATGTCCCTTCAGTGGGATCAGTGGGAAGAATGTCCCTTACATTGGTGATCAGTGGGAAGAATGCCCTTACATTGGGGATCAGTGGGAAAAATGTCCCTTACATTGGTGGGTGGGAAGAATGTCCCTTACATTGGTGATCAGTGGGAAGAATGCTCCCTTACATTGGTGGTCAGTGGGAAGAATGTCCCTTACATTGGTGATCAGTGGGAAGAATGCTCCTTACATTGGTGATCAGTGGGAAGAATGTCCCTTACATTGGTGGTCAGTGGGAAGAATGTCCCTTACATTGGTGGTCAGTGGGAAGAATGTCCCTTACATTGGGGTCAGTGGGAAGAATGTCCCTTACATTGGTGGTCAGTGGGAAGAATGTCCCTTACATTGGTGGTCAGTGGGAAGAATGTCCCTTACATTGGTGATCAGTGGGAAGAATGTCCCTTACATTGGGGGTGGTCAGTGGGAAGAATGTCCCTTACATTGGTGATCAGTGGGAAGAATGTCCCTTACATTGGTGATCAGTGGGAAGAATGTCCCTTACATTGGTGGTCAGTGGGAAGAATGTCCCTTACATTGGTGATCAGTGGGAAGAATGTCCCTTACATTGGTGGTCAGTGGGAAGAATGTCCCTTACATTGGTGATCAGTGGGAAGAATGTCCCTTACATTGGTGGTCAGTGGGAAGAATGCTCCCTTACATTGGGGGTCAGTGGGAAGAATGTCCCTTACATTGGAATGCTCACATTGTCAGTGGGAAGAATGTCCCTTACATTGGTGATCAGTGGGAAGAATGTCCCTTACATTGGAGGTCAGTGGGAAGAATGCTCCTTACATTGGGGGTCAGTGGGAAGAATGTCCCTTACATTGGGGGTCAGTGGGAAGAATGATCCTTACATTGGTGATCAGTGGGAAGAATGTCCCTTACATTGGTGGTCAGTGGGAAGAATGCTCCTTACATTGGGGGTCAGTGGGAGAATGTCCCTTACATTGGTGGTCAGTGGGAAGAATGTCCCTTACATTGGTGATCAGTGGGAAGAATGTCCCTTACATTGGTGGGTCAGTGGGAAGAATGCCCCCACCCCCTCCATTCAGAGAGGCAAACAATTTGTGTGATTGGTTACTTAACCTCCTTTGTGTCATCTCAGTGCTCCACTTCCTGTCTACATGCGCTCCAGCAATGGCTGCATGGCATTTCTCAAGACAAGTTTCATGATGGTGACAACAGACCATGTAACAGTAGACCACTGCCAGGTGACACCACAAGAGCACAATCAAAAGACAAGGACAGTGCTGCCAATGTGCATGTGTCGGCAGTGTGCCCTTTGATTGTCTGTGATCCAGCTGTCGACAGCACAGTTCATAGGCAAAATGCACAGAGCCAATCAGAATGGTTCTATGCCTTGGAATCACTGGGAACCAATCACAGCGATCACAATTGCAAATAAAATAATGTAAACACAGCCCTCTGCCACACTGACCGCCGCTCTCACTGATCACTAAAAAAGGAAGGGAGGGAGCACACTGACTTTGCTGCCACCACCAGCTCTCCGGACAGGCCTCTAATTGGGACTTAGTGGGACGGACTCCTGATCATGTGACCAATGTGAGAGCCAATCACGGCGACCATGTAATACAGAGGCGGGGCTGCTTCGAGGGCCACCAGGGTCCACTTAAAAGGTGGGCTAAAGGCGTTAAATACCACCAAAAGAAAGCTTGTCTAAAAGTTAATATACAATTTGGCACAGTCTTGCATGACCGAGTAACTGTCAGTCAAAGCATCATAGCAGAAGAACAATCTAGAATTATCTTCAGGAGAGCTGGAGTTTCCTTCACACGAGACAAAACTCGATATCCAGCCTTACAGAGTCAAGACGATCGGTCTACTCGACTTCACCGCTATGGACTGACGAAATCTCTCCATCCTTAGGGACCAGATCAGTTTCTTGCTCTCGTATGCTGCCTTCTACATGAATTATCGCTACGGAGTGATTGGTTTCTGTGCTGGCGGATAAATCTACAGTGAGATATGTTTTCTGAAGTCACTCAGTCCAGCAGGAGAACTTTCCATGCCAAATTCCTCTATTGAGTTGGACTGGAGAAAGGAAAATTGTTTATACAAAAGGTTGTAAATCACCGTTGTGCCTCCTGTCCTGAGCTTATCAGCCTTGCACAGGCCAACAGGAACCGGCGGCTCTTACCGCCTCCTGAGCTCCGACAAGAGGACCTGTTATGGTTCGGATCTTTCAATTCCTGAGCCCAGAACTTCTACTATCAGGGAGGGACCAAAATCCTCTAATCTCAAACTGCTTTCGAATTTCAAAATCCTCATTTACATGCAAAGTTCTTATTTTGCATATCCTGCTTTGATCCCAAAAATTGTTCAGCAAGGATGGAAAATTCTTTGGCTGACAAAAGCTGGCCATAGATGGGTGACTTTTGAACAAAAACTCTTATGAAAAGAATGTTCTAAGAAAGTTTGTTCCTTTTTCTCATCATTAGTGGATCAAGTCAATGTTCATTTTCGACTGCAGTGATGAGAAAATTCGAAGGAGCGGGATGGAACCAATCTTGTCTCCAAATATCACCCAAACTGTACTCTCCGCTCCTCGCACGACCTCCTGCTCTCTAGCTCCCTTGTCTCCTCCTCCCATGCTCGTCTCCAGGACTTCTCCAGAGCTTCTCCCATCCTCTGGAACTCTCTACCTAAATTTATCAGACTATCGCCTACTCTGCTCACTTTTAGGCGATCTCTGAAAACCGATCTCTTCAGGGAAGCCTATCCTGCGCTCAGCGAATAATGGAATCTTCTACTCTTCCAACCAATCCATCCCCCACAGTTATTACCTTTTGTACCACTAGCCCCTGCCTCTTAGATTGTAAGCTCCAAGGATCAGGGCCCTCCTAACCCTCTTGTATTGAACTGTATTGTTGCTGTATTGTCTCCCATTATATTGTAAAGCGCTGAGCAAACTGTTGGCGCCATATAAATCCTGAATAATAATAATAATGGAACATTTTTCTTGAACGAACAAATTTCTAACAGTGAATGTGGTTTTCATTTTTGGTAAAGTCCATTCATTCAAAATTTGAAAGTTAGAAGCAAATGAAATGTTTCAAATCTTCTGAGAATTTTCATAGAAATCTTCCTTTCCAAAGAATTTTTGTTCAAAATTCTATCCATTTATGGTCAGCTATACAGTTCCTGGAAGAGAAATCTACAGTCTTCACTTGAAACATCATCATTCACATCAAGAATGAATGACTGCTGATTGACTGTTGTGGACAACAACAGTTTGCATATAGCTTCATAATATCATTCCACAAAAGGTACATTATTAGGCCAAAAGTATGTGAACTCCCCTCCCTCAAATGATGGAGTTTCGGTGTCTCCAGTGAAGGGTAATGGTAATACTACACCATAGAAAGACATTTTAGACAATGGTGGTCTCCCAACCTTGTGATAACAGTTTGGTGAAGACCCTTTTCTGTTCCACCATGACTATGCCCTGTGTATAAAGCCAGCCCCATAAAGACATGGTTTGACCAGTTTGGTGTGGAGGAACTTGAGTGTCCTGCACAGAGCCTTGACCTCAGCCCTACCTAACTTTCAATCCCTTTGGGATGAATTAGGAGGCCAGTGGTGAGCCAGGTCTTCTCTTCCAACATCAGAACCGTACCTTAGCCCTACTCAACACCTGTTGGATGAATTGAAAGGCCAATGGTAAGTCACGTCTTCTCTTTTAGCATCAATACCTGACCTTAACCCTACTGAACATCACTGAAATGAATTGAAAGGTTATCCAGGTCTTCTCTTACAACATCAGTATCTGACCTCAACCCTTCTGAACACCTTTGGATAAATTGAAAGGCCAATAGTGATCAAGATTTTCTCTTTCAGCATCAATACCTGACCTCAGCCCTACTGAACACCTTTGGGATGAACTGATATGCCAATGGCGATCCAGATCTTCTCCTTCAAAATCAGTACCTGACCTCAGCCCTACTGAGCACCTTTGAGATTAAATTGAAAGACCAGTGGTGAGCCACGTCATCTCCTCCAACATTAGTACCTAACCTCAATGCTACTGAACACCTTTGAGATTAATTGAAAGGCCAATAATGATCAAGATCTTCTCTTTCAGCATCAGTACCTGACCTCAGCCCTACTGAACACCTTTGAGATTAATTGAAAGACCAGTGGTGATCCAGGTCCTCTTCTTTCAAGATCAGTACCTGACCTCAACCCTACTGAACACCTTTGGGATGAATTGAAAGGCCAATAGTGATCAAGCTCTTCTCTTTCAGCATCAGTACCTGACCTCAGCCCTACTGAACACCTTTGAGATTAATTGAAAGACCAGTGGTGATCCAGGTCTTCTCTTTCAATATCAGTACCTGACCTCAGCCCTACTGAACACCTTTACATGAACTGAAAGGCCAATGGTGATACAGATCTTCTCCTTCAACACCAGTACCTGACCTCAGCCCTACTGAACAACTTTACATGAACTGAAAGACCAATGGTGATACAAGCCTTCCGTCCAACATCAGAACCTGACCTTACAAATCCCCACAGACATCCTCCATAATCTTTTGGAAAGTCTTCCAAGAAAAGTGGAGGATATTAGAGTCGCAAAGGGGGCCAACTCCATATTGACGGCCATGGTTATGGAATGTGATGTCCAACAAACTCATATAGGTGTGATTGTCAGGTGACCACAACAATTTTCCTTTTAGTACAGTTTTCATGTCCCATCCTCACCTGAGCTCCTCTGGAATAAGAACGAAAAATAGTGCAAAATCTTCCTTGTCCTGAAGTGTCCCTATAAATGAAAAAAAAGAAAGGAATTAATACTCTGTAAAGAAGAATAAAGCAGGAATAAAAATGGGTTTCTATTGAAAAACAAAACAGCCGTGTTTATAGATAGAGGTTACATGACATTATGATAAGCAGATGCAGGGGCGGACTGACAACTCAAGGGGCCCCCGGGGAATAGGGGATCATGGAGCCCCTCTGTCCTTTCCCAAACTCAAAAAAGCCTATGAAAAAGATACCAGGGGCATCTCATGGGGCCCCCTACTGACCCCGGGCCCTCGGGCAGTGCCCGAGTTTCCAAATGGTCAGTCCGCCCCTGAGCATGTGAATTTCTGGCCTGGCGGACAGGCATTTCCTCTTTGATCCACTGGTGAGAACGCCGTTAAAGTATTTCATATATTCATTGAGGGCACATTTGACATGTCATTGCAGTTCGTAGGATAAATTAATTTTTGATGTGATCGTCACACTTTTAGCTGCTCGCTCTTCCATATTTTTAAATTTATATTTGAAAAAAGCAATTTGTAAATTAGCCACTAGAGGGCAAAAACACTCAGTTTTGCATTTATTCCACCTTGCTTTTTAACAGCTGCTGAGATAAAATGTCAGCCACACAAGGGGTGCATGGTTTTAGGTCAGCTGGCCGACTCATAGACAATCATTAGGTAAAGGAGATGCAATGTACGACCACTGTGTAATCCTGCAAAGCCGGGAGCAGAGGCTGCATGTGTCATGAGAAAATATAGCTGCCCCCATACACATATATAGTTCTCATGCCCATTTCTATCTGTGACCCTATTGGGGAGACTTTCCTTCACTTCCGTTCCAGTGACACCCATAAAGAAATAGGGGGAGTGGCTGTCACCGGGACAGGGAGGAACAGATGGGAATAAGAACATTGTTGGAAGTTCTAAGTCTTTCCATACTCTACAAAAAAATGTGTCTTTTCCTAACCTATAAGTACATCCCATCTGCCCATCAATGTATACAGCCTAATCCCACTGCAAGCCTGATTTCAAATTTCAGGTGGTATGTGGCATCCCATATTAATGACAAACAAATGGAGGTGGTGGGGGAGGGGGGATATGCAAATAGTGCTTTTTAAAGAGATTTGCCTTCAGCTGTTGTTTAAACTTTGCAAAATCTCCAATTTTGCAGAAACAATTCTTCGAAGTGAGTAATACGTCCACATGTTATAGAGATCAGCGGTGATGGCTTTTCCCGACTTCCTGCTGGCGCAGCCTGGTCTGTGCTCTGCCCAGAGATCCACACTGATGGAGGGAGAAGAAAGGTCGGCCAGGAGCTCCAACCGCAGAGCCCAGACACAGGGATTACCTTCCTTCTCTCTGAACTCCGTCCTGTGTGTGCAATGATAGGTACGACCATACCGAGAGCGCCCAGAGGGGGGCGATGGGGAGGGCCAGAGAAGGAGGAACCACAAATCTCAGCATCTACCGCTCTCCAGATAGAAGATATATTATACGGGAGTGACATCACCGCTCTCCAGATATAAGATATTATACAGGAGTGACATCACCGCTCTCCAGATATAAGATATATTATACGAGGAGTGACATCACCGCTCTCCAGATATAAGATATATTATACAGGAGTGACATCACCGCTCTCCAGATATAAGGTATATTATACAGGAGTGACATCACCACTCTCCAGATATAAGATATATTATACGGAGTGACATCACGCTCTCCAGATATAAGTTATATTATACAGGAGTGACATCACCGCTCTCTCCAGATATAAGATATATTATACAGGAGTGACATCACCGCTCTCCAGATATAAGATATATTATACAGGAGAGTGACATCACCACTCTCCAGATATAAGATATATTATAGAGGAGTGACATCATCGCCCTCCAGATATAAGATATATTATACAGGAGTGACATCACCGCCCTCCAGATATAAGATATATTATACAGGAGTGACATCACCGCTCTCCAGATATAAGATATATTATACAGGAGTGACATCACGGCTCTCCAGATATAAGATATATTATACAGGAGTGACATCACCGCTCTCCAGATATAAGATATATTATACGGGAGTGACATCACGGCTCTCCAGATATAAGATATATTATACGGGAGTGACATCACGGCTCTCCAGATATAAGGTTATATTATACAGGAGTGACATCACCACTCTCCAGATATAATATATATTGTACGGGAGTGACATCATCGCTCTCCAGATATAAGTTATATTATACAGGAGTGACATCACCACTCTCCAGATATAAGATATATTATACGGGAGTGACATCACGGCTCTCCAGATATAAGTTATATTATACAGAGTGACATCACCGCTCTCCAGATATAAGATATATTATACAGGAGTGACATCACCGCTCTCCAGATATAAGATATATTATACAGGAGTGACATCACCGCTCTCCAGATATAAGATATATTATACGGAGTGACATCACCGCTCTCCAGATATAAGATATATTATACGGGAGTGACATCACCGCTCTCCAGATATATTATACGAGTATCTCCATTATTATATGGGAGTGACATCACCGCTCTCCAGATATAAGTATATTATACGGGAGTGACATCACGGCTCTCCAGATATAAGATATATTATACAGGAGTGACATCACCGCTCTCCAGATATAAGATATATTATATGGGAGTGACATCACCGCTCTCCAGATATTAGTACAGGAGTCATATTATATTATACATGACATCATCGCCCTCCAGATATAAGATATATTATACAGGAGTGACATCACCGCTCTCCAGATATATAGCTCTCCAGATATATATATACAGGAGTGACATCACCGCTCTCCAGATATAAGATATATTATACAGGAGTGACATCACCGCTCTCCAGATATAAGATATATTATACAGGGAGTGACATCACCGCTCTCCAGATATAAGATTATATTATACAGGGAGTGACATCACCGCTCTCCAGATATAAGATATATTATACAGGAGTGACATCACCACTCTCAGATCAGATATAAGTTATATTATACAGGAGTGACATCACCGCTCTCCAGATATAAGATTATATTATACAGGAGTGACATCATCGCTCTCCAGATATAAGATATATTACACAGAGTGACATCACCGCTCTCCAGATATAAGATATATTATACAGGAGTGACATCACCGCTCTCCAGATATAAGATATATTATACAGGAGTGTAATAAACACATATACAGTATATACGAGGAGATAAAATTCTATGTCCGGTAATGACATTATATCTGATTGGAGATGAGAACCTCCCCCGCTTTCCTCCACAGCGCCATTTTATACATTTTTACCAGCGCGCAAAGATTCAGCCGCTCTATAATTACACGCTTGACGCCATGATTACACGCGGCACAAAGGCATTTCGCAGTGCGGCGCACGTTGTGTCTTCCTAATTGGATGCCGCCTTCCACTTCCCGCACAAGATCGGCTTCCTTCCCCAACTTTAACTCCATCCGCGCCAGAATGGACGCACAAACGGTCAGATTGTACTTTGGAAGGAGTTGGAGAACTATAAAAGGGATACGTTATCATCATCATCATCGATATCCTGAGGATTCCCCCCCTTCCTGCCCCGGCCATTTTGTGCGATACGGCGCTACCTTACTTTAACTGACAATTGCGCGGTCATGCAATGCTGCACCCACATGAAATTTACGTCCTTTTTCCCCACAAATAGAGCTTTCTTTTGGGCAGTATTTGATCACCTCTGTGTTTTTCATTTTTGGCGCAATGAAAAAAAAAAGCGACAATTTTGTGAAAAAAAAACAATATTTTTGACTTTTTTGCTATTAAACATGGCCAATAAAAACATTAAATTTCATCATAAAATGTATTCTGCTCGGTGTCTTTTGCCGGCCATAGACGGTTCGAAAATCTGCCGATTTTTTGTCCGAAAGATTAATTGGCCAATTTTCGCACTGTTAGTGGGTTAATTGGTCAGCCGGTTTTCGTGTTTTTTGCACTTTTGGATTATCGGTCATGTTGGAAAATTTGTGGAAAACGACAGATTTTCGTGGCAAATCGTACGATCGTTTTAACGAAAACAAATATGTGCATGAGCCATGACCTGGAAGGAACAGACGTTTGGGCTGTTATATTGGGTGAACTTTATGACTGGGGAACCATGTGGACCAGATTTGGCCAATGTTTGTAATCGTTGGTGGTAACGTCGGTTTAACGAACGACCAATTTTTCATTTATCGTTCGAAAAAAAACGCACGGTTTTCAACACTTCTATGGCCTGCATATGCTAGAAAGAAATCCCAATACGTGTAAATTAATTGGTTTATGTGAAAGTTATAGCGTTTACAAATGGCGGTATAGATACTGGGATTTTTTTTTTTACTAATAATGGCAGTGATCAGCATCTTATAGCGGCGGGTATTCTGACACTGGGGGGGGGACTGACTTGCTGTCACTGACATCCCCAGTGACACCAATACAGTGATAAGTGCTTTTTTTTTTTTTTTTTAGCACTGACACTGTACTAATAGCACTGGGCAGGAAGGGGTTAACATGAGGGGGCAATCAAAGGGTTAACTGTGTGCTGGGAGTGCTTTACTAGGGGGCGGTGTCTGTGTGCCTCACTGTAATCACACTGCTGTGGATGGCAGTGCTGTGCAGTGTCTGCACCGGCCGACAGGGAAAAGGACTGTTAGTAACAAAAAGAAGCCCTCCTTCCCATCGGAGATCCTCGGTAATCACCGTCCGGGACCCAGTGATTGACAGCCACAGGCGCGCGCACCCCCTACCCGGAAATGCTAAATCATGTATACATATGTGATTTTGCACACCCCTCTCGCCCTGTAGCAGTATATCCGCTATAGGGTGGCAGGGAAGTGGTTAAATCCTCCCTCCGGCCTCCCCTTCAGTCTTGCACAAGTGTACCGGCTCCTCCCCTGCAGTCTTTCACAGGTAGGTGTACCGGCTCCTCCCCTGCAGTCTTGCACAGGTGTACCGGCTCCTCCTCTGCAGTCTTGCGTAGGTGTACCGGCTCCTCCCCCTTCAGTCTTGCACAGGTGTACCGGCTCCTCTCCTTCAGTCTTCCACAGGTGTACCGGCTCCTCCCCTTCAGTCTGGCACAGGTGTACTGGCTCCTCCCCTTCAGTCTTGCACAGGTGTACTGGCTCCTCCCCTTCAGTCTTGCACAGGTGTACCGGCTCCTCCCCTTCAGTCTGGCACAGGTGTACTTGGCTCCTCCCCTTCAGTCTTGCACAGGTGTACCGGCTCCTCCCCTTCAGTCTTGTACAGGTGTTCTGGCTCCTCCCCTTCAGTCTTGTACAGGTGTAACGGCTCCTCCCCTTCAGTCTTGCACAGGTGTTCCGGCTCCTCCCCTCCAGTCTTGCACAGGTGTACCGGCTCCTCCCCTTCAGTCTTGCACAGGTGTACCGGCTCCTCCCCTTCAGGCTTGGACAGTTGTACCGGCTCCTCCCCTTCAGTCTTGCACAGGTGTACCGGCTCCTCCCCTTCAGTCTTGCACAGGTGTACCGGCTCCTCCCCTTCAGTCTTGCACAGTTGTATCGGCTCCTCTCCTGGACTGAAACGGCTTCCTCTGATTTCACTGCACACTGTGAGCTTCTCACAGTGTGCATTAGAAGCTGCAGAAAATCAGACAGAGTTCCGCTTCATTTCCTGGCTGGAGGACGTCCAGCATCATCTAGCGCCTTCCTCCCTGACCCGCCCCTTTCATCCATTGCATTTATTTATATCACGGAGGCTCCGCCTCACATGTGGGCATTACTGCAGTCTGGATGCAATTGTAGCCTACCTAGCCATGCACACTCCTCCAGACTGACATCCACCCGTCAGGGCATTATGAGATTTGCATAACTCCTCCTAGGAAGCAGCCCACTGCTTGCATCAGGACTGAGGGCTCTTGAGATGAGTACTGAAGCTACTGTGATGTTTTCAGGAAGCTATGTACAGCACCCTGCAAGCCCAACTCCCCCCACTACCACCAGCCTGCTTTGCATAGAGAAGCACAAAGGCCCAGTGATGACATCACAGGGTCTATTATTCACCATCTCCTAACTGCTTTCATGCGTTGTCACCCTGAAGACTGCAACACAGGCATGGTCCTCTGCGGTCACCATGGCAAAACCTGCCTCGAGAAATGCCATGCAGTCATCGTTAGAGTCCATAGGAAGTGGATGTAAAGAGGCTGCAGGAGATCAGCAGTACCAAATGAGAAACCAATGTGAAAAGAAGGAGTTTATCTGGAAAAATGGCAGTTGTGTATGACGCATGGTGCACACGGCAAACTATAGGTCACCAGGCAAGGTTTACTTGATAATGACGCATGTAAAAGATATGTGCAGACACATCAGCCAAGTACAATTTTTTTTTTTTTATGGATTTTACGTCCAATTTTCTTTTTTCCTAAACAAATCCAAATCATAAAAAGATCCAGGCGCCCGTTCCTGTGCATTTTATTATACATTCAGTGTGACGTCGCCCTCGCAGCCGGTAATATTTTATTCATAAATCAGGTTATCGTATGAAGAGCTCCCCGGCCTCCCGGACGCTGGCGGAGTGACATCACACGATCCGAGCGCTGCGAGCCGAAAACCGCTCCGAGGTCATCAATAAAACCCCATCACATTGTACAGGAGAGATCCGCGGCACACGGGCTCCATTGTCCCATACAGACCACCGGCTCAGTTCAGGAAGTGGAACTCTAATGTGAGCCATGTGACTGTCATTCTCACATTTCATTGGACTGAAAATAACTGTCACTTTTTTTACATTAGGGATATTTGTGTGTCAATTGAGGCTTATACAAGTCTGTGTTACCTTACTAACTGCAGCCCCTTGCTTCCCTTGGCCATCGTTCTCACGGATACAAGGCACTATCCCTCCCACTGACACCAACGTAGGGGCACCCATACCTTCCACTGACACCAGTGATGGGGCACAATTCCTCCCACTGACACCAACGAAGGGGTACCCATACCTTCCACTGACACCAGTGATGGGGCAAAATTCCTCCCACTGACACCAACGAAGGGGTACCTTCCAAAACTTCACACCCTGACACCAACGAAGGGGTACCCAGTGATGGGGTACAATTCCTCCCACTGACACCAATGATGGGACACTATTCCTCCCACTGACACCAATGATGGGGCACTATTCCTCCCACTGATATCAATGATGGGGCACTATTCCTCCCACTGACACCAATGACGGGACACTATTCCTCCCACTGACACCAATGATGGGGCACTATTTCTCCCACTGACACCAATGACGGGACACTATTCCTCCCACTGACACCAACGATAGGGCACAATTCCTCCCACTATCACCAATATTAAGGCATTATTCTTCCCACTGACACGAATGATGGGGCACTATTCTTCCTACAGGCACCCATGACGGGCACTATTCTTCCCACTGACACCAATAATGGGGCACTACTCTTCCTACTGATACCAATGATAAGGAACAATTCCTCAAACTGACACCAATGATGGGGCACTATTCCCTTCAATGACACCAATGATAGGGCACCATTCCTCCATTAATACCAATTGGGGCACTATTTCTCCTCACAATTCCTCCTACTGACACCAATGATGAGGAACTATTCCTCCCATTGACACCAATCACTGGGCACAATTCCTCCTACTGACACCAATGATGGGGCACAATTGGGCACTATTCCTCCCACTTGACACCAATCACTGGGGCACTATTCCTCCCACTGACACCAATGATGGGGCACATTCTATTCTTCCCCCATTGACCAATCACTGGGCACTACCTCCCCAATGACTATTCTGGACACCAATGATGGGCACTATACCTCCCACTGACACCAATGACAGGGCACTATTCTTCCCACTGACACCAATAATGGGGCACTACTCTTCCTACCAACACCAGTGATGGGGCACTATTCCTCCATTAATACCAATTGGGGCATTATTTCTCCCACTGACACCAATGATGGGGCATTATTCCTCCTACTGCCACCATGGAGTACGATTACTCCCGCTGAAACAAACCATGGGGCACGATTCTTCCACCTAATAGTAAAGGTTAGGCATGATTTCTCCCACTGACACCAACCATGGCAGCATTATTCAATCCATTGACACCAACTATGGGATACTATTTACATTTTTTACTCCCACTGACACCGGTACACTTTCAGCTATCTATAATGAAGTAGTTACCCATGATGTACAGGCTGGTGGTTTCTCCAGAAATCTTCATTGCAGAGCTGCCCTGTCCTCTTCCTGCTGCTGAACTTCTGTCATGTGGGGATTAACAACTTCAGGTCCTCTGGCTCAGCTGCACTAAAGGTGACATACCTCCTCCTGCCCTCTCCTCCAATGAGAAACGTTCTTTCACTGATTACACTGCCTGTAACACAATTGGTGAATGGAGGAGGGTCTTATCAGTCACACAATTCTCTGCCCTATTAACAGATGACGTTAAAGTAAGTATAATCAGTGAAAGAATTTTTCTCATGGGAGGAGAGGGCAGGAGGGGGCGAGTCCCCTTCAGATCATCATTAGTGCAGCTGAACCTGAAGACCAAGGCTGTTAACCCCAACAGAGCTGGAAGTTTAGCAGCAGGAAGAGGACAGGGCATCCTAGCACAGTGTAGCAAAAGAACGGGGCAGCCCTGCACAGTGAAGGAAGAGGCCAGGGCAGCCTGGCACAGTGAAGGAAGAGGACAAGGCAACACGGCACACGGCAGTGCAGGAAGAGGACAGCCTGGCACAGTGTAGAATGAGACCAGAGCAGCATGGCAGAGTGGAGGACAGGGCATCCCGGCAGAGTGCAGGAGGAGGATGAGGCATCCTGGCAAAGTGCAGGAAGAGGACGGGGCAGCCTGGCAAAGTGCAGGAAGAGGACGGGGCAGCCCGGCACAGTGCAGGAAGAGGACGGGGCAGCCCGGCACAGTGCAGGAAGAGGACGGGGCAGCCCGGCACAGTGCAGGAAGAGGACGGGGCAGCCCGGCACAGTGCAGGAAGAGGACGGGGCAGCCCGGCACAGTGCAGGAAGAGGACGGGGCAGCCTTGCACAGTGTAGAATGAGGACATGGCAGCCCGGAAGAGTGCAGGGAGAGGATGAGGCAGCCTGGCACAGTATAGAATAATACCAGAGCAGCATGGCAGAGTGCAGGAATAGGATGAGGCAGCCCAGCAAAGTGCAGGAAGAGGACAAGGCAGCTGGGCAAAGTGCAGGAAGAGGGCGGGGCAGCCGGGCAAAGTGCAGGAAGAGGGCGGGGCAGCCCGACACAGGGCAGGAAGAGGGCGGTGCAGCCCGACACAGGGCATGAAGAGGGCGGGGCAGCCCGACACAGGGCATGAAGAGGGCGGGGCAGCCCGACACAGGGCAGGAAGAGGGCGGGGCAGCCCGACACAGGGCAGGAAGAGGGCGGCGCAGCCGACACAGGGCAGGAAGAGGGCGGCGCAGCCGACACAGGGCAGGAAGAGGGCGGGGCAGCCCGACACAGGGCAGGAAGAGGGCGGGGCAGCCCGACACAGGGCAGGAAGAGGGCGGGGCAGCCCGACACAGGGCAGGAAGAGGGCGGGGCAGCCCGACACAGGGCAGGAAGAGGGCGGGGCAGCCCGACACAGGGCAGGAAGAGGACGGGGCAATCCTGCAGTGAAGGTTTCTAAAGAATCCAGCAGCCTGCACATTGTGGGATATGCTCTATTACAGGTAAGTAATGAAACTAAAGTAGCGAAAAATATTTTTTTTTAGCTTCTCTTCAACTGTATTCTTCAAATGAATTTTTTATTTCTCAAACTGTACAGAGCAACCTTGTTAACAGAAGACATGAATGATACAATGTATGTCAGGATCTGGAATACAAACAGCACAGAATACTTGACATTGTGCACATGACCCACCAGAGCTGCAGCTTTATCCGTCGCCCATCCAGCAGTATAGTTGTGGTCTTGTAGTCAATTCCTGCAACCAAAAAACAAAAACAAAAAATGAATTAGTGAAGTTCGTGTCATTCAGAATCATTTTCTATAAAAAACACAACAGGCATAGAACAGTGTAATACCACCGGGGACAGAAACTGCTCATCACTGTACTGACACCACAACTCCTCTACTGAAAGACACCGCAATGTGCATTAGAAGCTGCAGCAAGTAAAACTGAGCCTGCCTGAGGGACATCCAGCATCATCTAGCACTTTCCTCCCCACCCTGACCACCCTTGCACTTGCACATTTTATCTTCACTTATGGTGTTTTTTTTTTTTTCCACAGACTTAAGAAAAAGAAAATGGGTTTACTGCCCTGTGTCCATCTCTCTGCCCCCTTGCTCTGCTGTGCCAAGGCCGGGGGCAGCTGTACCTCCTGTACCGGCCTTGGCTTTCTGCATAGAGAAACACAGAGAACAAGTGATGCCACTTGTCCAAAATAAAAGGTGCATAATGAAAACGGAAAGGTTTTATGTAACATTTTTAAATGGCATCTTGATAAGTGGGGGGGGTAAAATAAAGTCAGACTGGGCAGCACAGTGGCTAAATGGTTAGCACTTCCGCCTGGCAGTACTAGGGTTGTTGGTTCGAATCCCAGCCACGGCACCACCTGCTTGGACTTTGCATGTTCTCTCTGTGCCTGCGTGGGTTTCCTCCGGATGCTCCAGTTTCCTCCCACACTCCAATAGGTTAATTGGATCCTGTCTATATTGTCCCTAGTATGTGAATGTATGAATGTGAGTTAGGGGCCTTAGATTGTACGCCCCTTGGGGGTTAGGGACTGATGTGAATGTACAAATCTATGTAAACTGCTGCGTAAAATGATGGCGCTATATAAGTACCTGAAATAAATACATAAAATTTAATTGCAGCTTTAGACTCTTGCACATGGCAGTCTTCACTTTGCATAGAGAGCAGCAGTGGCCCCCTAGGTCTGTTTTTCTGGGTCACTTTGCATAGAGAGCAGCAGTATGGGACCCCCAAGGTCACCTGTTTTTCTGGGGTCACTTTGCATAGAGAGCTGGGGGGACCCCCTAGGTCACCCGTTTTTCTGGGGTCATAGAGAGCAGCAGTATGGGACCCCCTAGGTCACCTGTTTTTCTGGGGTCACTTTGCATAGAGAGCAGCAGTAGGGAGAGCAGAGAGCAGCAGTATGGGACCCCCAAGGTCACCTGTTTTTCTGGGGTCACTTTGTAGAGAGAGCAGCAGTATGGGACCCCCAAGGTCACCTGTTTTTCTGGGGTCACTTTGCATAGAGCAGCAGTATGGGACCCCCTAGGACCCCGGTCACTAGGAGAGCAGCAGCATGGGACCCCCTAGGTCACCTGTTTTTCTGGGGTCACTTTGCATAGAGAGCAGCAGCAGTATGGGACCCCCAAGGTCACCTGTTTTTCTGGGGTCACTTTGTATAGAGAGCAGCAGTATGGGGGTCCCCCCCCTAGGTCACCTGTTTTTTCTGGGGTCACTTTTCTGGGGGTCACTTTTTTCTGGGGTCACTTTGCATAGAGAGCAGCAGCAGGTACCTGGGGGTCACCAGTATGGGACCCCCTAGGTAGGTCACTTTGTATAGAGAGCAGCACCCCCTAGGTCACCTGTTTTTCTGGGGTCACTTTGTATAGAGAGCAGCAGTATGGGACCCCCTAGGTCACCTGTTTTTCTGGGGTCACTTTGCATAGAGAGCAGCAGTATGGGACCCCCTAGGTCACCTGTTTTTCTGGGGTCACTTTGGGGTATGGGACCCCCTAGGTCACCTGTTTTTCTGGGGGTCACTTTAGGAGCAGCAGTATTGGACCCCCTAGGTCAGGTCACCTTTTTTCTGGGGTCACTTTGCAGAGAGCAGCAGTATGGGACCCCCTAGGTCACCTGTTTTTCTGGGGTCACTTTGCATAGAGAGCAGCAGTATGGGACCCCCTAGGTCACCTGTTTTTCTGGGGTCACTTTGCATAGAGAGCAGCAGTATGGGACCCCCTAGGTCACCTGTTTTTCTGGGGTCACTTTGCATAGAGAGCAGCAGTATGGGACCCCCTAGGTCACCTGTTTTTCTGGGGTCACTTTGCATAGAGAGCAGCAGTATGGGACCCCCTAGGTCACCTGTTTTTCTGGGGTCACTTTGCAGCAGCAGTATGGGACCCCCTAGGTCAGCTGTTTTTCTGGGGTCACTTTGCATAGGGAAGGTCACCTGTTTTTCTGGGGTCAGTATGGGACCCCCTAGGTCACCTGTTTTTCTGGGGTCACTTTGCATAGAGAGCAGCAGAATGGGACCCCCTAGGTCACCTGTTTTTCTGGGGTCACTTTGCATAGAGAGCAGCAGAATGGGACCCCCATAGGTCACCTGTTTTTCTGGGGTCACTTTGCATAGAGAGCAGCAGAATGGGACCCCCTAGGTCACCTGTTTTTTCTGGGGTCACTTTGTTGATAGAGAGCAGCAGAATGGGACCCCCCCCCAAGGTCACCTGTTTTTCTGGGGTCACTTTGCATAGAGAGCAGCAGAATGGGACCCCCTAGGTCACCTGGGGGTCACTTTGCATAGAGAGCCCCCCCTAGGTCACCTGTTTTTATTTTAGAGAGCAGCAGAATGGGACCCCCTAGGTTTTTTTTCTGGGGTTTTGTATAGTAGAGCAGCAGAATGGGACCCCCTAGATCACCTGTTTTTATTTTTTTAAGTTTTGTATAGTAGAGAGAAGGAATAAGACCCCGGTGGGGAATTTTTCTTTTCTTTCCTGCGGTACCCCCAGAGACATCAATCACATCTTTGAGGTTGCTACAGGGTCCCCGGCTCTATCCTCGCTCCATGCAAGGCCTTATTAACCAAAGGGAAATAACTGGACGCGCTTCTCCCTGTAAATGTCCCCAATTAATGAATGCAGAGATCGGGTTCACAAGCTGCAATTAATGACATCTTCTATACAATGCAGACTGGATTTGTCTTGGCTGATCCCGGTAATCCGGCACTCTCCGTTGTGCGCACAGGATGTCGCTTCGCTCTCAGCCATGGCTGGTGGGAGTAGCGGAGGTGTGCCATCTTGGGAACGCGCTGTGCCAGCCTCGCTGTGTTCTCGTTGCTAATTTTAAACCCCCGTGGAAAGGTACCGAAGCAATGTGTGCGCTCTGTCATGTACCCCATTACTGCGGGAAGGTGTCAAATCATCGCTGCTTGAAAAAAGAAAAATGACTAGATGGGCGGATGATGAGCTGCCTGCTCTGCTCCACCAATAACCGAAAGGAAATATGCGCAGAATGTTTTGGGATCAAAATAGTACAAACAAGTAAAGTGAGGCATGCCAAAAAATGAGTCTCCATAGTAACTAGATCAACTTAAAAAAAAAGGAAATTTGACAGCAGCAGGGTTTGCAAAAAAAAAAAAAAAAAAACTGGGAACGAACAACAAGAATTACACTGGTATTGATGGGGTTTTGGGCTTGTGACGATGACATCACAGGAGTCATTGATAGCTGCATTTGACTTGCTTCGGCAGGTCTGGTTTTGCATTCCCTGCATTAACTAGTATTCAAGCAAACAAAACCCAGCCAACACAGGCAATAGTGCCCTTGATCTGATGCAGGCCTGCCCTTGACCTGATGCAAACCTGATTCGGACCTGCCCTTGACCTGATGCAGACCTTCCCTCAACCTGATTCGGACCTGCCCTTGACTTGATGCAGACCTTGACCTGATGCAAACCTGCCCTTGACCTGATGCAGACCTTCCCTCAACCTGATGCAAGTGGATTTTCCTGATTCGGACCTGCCCTTGAGCTGATGCAGACCTGCCCTCGACCTGATGCGGACCTGCCCTCGACCTGATGCGGATGGGACCTGCCCTCGACCTGATGCGGACCTGCCCTTGACCTGATGCGGACCTGCCCTTGACCTGCTTCAAGTGGGTTTTGACCTGATTCGGACCTGCCCTTGACTTGATGCAGACCTGCCCTCAATCTGATGCAAGTGGGTTTTGACCTGATTTGGACCATCCCTTGAGCTGATGCAGACCTGCCCTCGACCTGATGCGTGACCTGCCCTCGACCTGATTTGGACCATGCCCTCGACCTGATGCAGACCTGCCCTCGACCTGATGCGGACCTGCCCTCGACCTGATGCGGACCTGCCCTCGACCTGATGCGGACCTGCCCTTGACTGATGCGGACCTGCCTTCGACCTGATGCGGACCTGCCCTTGACCTGCTTCGGACCTGCCCTTGACCTGCTTCGGACCTGCCCTTGACCTGCTTCAAGTGGGTTTTGCATTCCCATTAACTAGTATTCAAGCAAACAAAAGCCAGCCAACACAGGACCTTACTGGTCTAGCAATGTGAAGGATAGCCCCAGGGTGCTGCACCTCAAATATGTCTCCTGCAGAAACCTGAACGGAAAATAAAGTGGAACTCCAGCCAAGACAATATTTTTTTTGGACAAGAAATATCCTTCCTTAAGTTGGCTATAGACTAAGGAAGGGCTTTGGCCTTGTGATGATGGCATTACTTTATGATGTCCTCTGAGATTATCCAGAGGTCACTGACGGATGCATTTGATTTGCTTTGGACCTGCCCTTGACCTGCTTGACCTGCCCTTGACCTGCTTACGACCTGCCCTTGACCTGCTTACGACCTGCCCTTGACCTGCTTCGAGTGGGTTTTGCATTCCTATTAACTTGTACTGAAGCAAACAAAGGCCAGCCAGCACAGGCCCTTACTGATCTAGCAATGTGAGAGATGGCCCCAGGGTGCTTCAAATATGCTTCCTGCAGAAACCTGAACATCAAACAAAGTGGAGCCAAGACAATATTTTTTCGGACAGCAAAAATAAGTTGGCTATACACGAAGGACTTGTTCACATGTGCAGCAGACCTTACTTTGAAAGGCGGCAAGGGGGCGATATGTCACCTTCTCATTGCATGATGTAACTGTGTAAATTCAGCACCACAATTGCACGCATTGTACGTGGTTCGTGGCTCCATAGACTTGCATTGGTTGTGTGTGCAGAATG